CGGCTTCCAAGTTGTCTCTAATAGCCAAGCACGGGGGATGGCAAAACTGCATCTCGGGTGGACTATAACAGCAAACAACATCCCGCCTGTAAGTCCGTAAAGTAGCTAATTCAAAGAATTTCAAGAATGGTGTCACTTTTTAACAAGATTCTAAAGATTGTGTGAAAGTCTGTGCGTGAAATGGAGGAGAAACATCGTTTTTGCCCATTTATCAACATAGGTGATACTAACAGCATGGATACTAATAGTACGGATACTGACAGCTTCGAGAAAAATTACATGTTTGAATGCCTTCTGGTAGAACAACTCTATATCACAACTCTCACACATCATTCCCTTTCCATCCTCACAAACACCAACTCAGGGATCGTTAACAGTCTTCCTTCCTCCCCTTCACAAACACGGTAAACTTGTCTCTTCCACGAGATCCCCTACGTTCCCTCCCTCGTCTTCAACGGGAGTCAGCGGCGTTTCTAAAAACCATTCCATCCATGCAGGATCCAACGGCGGAGCCTCTCCCTCTTCCGCAGGAGCAGCAGGCAAGTTCGAGGAGGCCCTGGCTGCGGAAGCAGAGCTAGTATCGTTACCTGCAGCAACAGAGGAAAGAATCAGTATTGTCAGCTACAGGAAGCAGCACAAAGTCATCCAGTCGCCCTCGGCTATAACTAGTCCCACTCACATCCCGCACAAACTTACTTGGCCTTGACGGCTCGGGGCTGGGCGATACCGGCAGTTCTCCCATGAAGTGATTATGATTTCCCCTCGCACTCGGCCAACGCAGGATCCCAAAACGACGGCAAGAAGACTTGAGGGAGGTGAGCGAAATTCCCTGCCAACAGACGTCAGCTGACAGATCATACTCTTGATCTGCTCACAAGCTGCTTTGCTGCCTCGGATTGCCTCAGGTGGAAAAATTTCGAGATGTCCTTTAGCTTGAGATTGATCTTTCTTGGACGGCAAGATTGCGGGTGGTATGGCCTTGTTGTAGCGTTGAGGTGCGACCCTTCCATGGTGCCTGAGTGGAAAAGTAAGAGCTGCTGCAAACATTGCGTGAAAACTGATTAACAACATTGTGGTAACAATCATCATTGCACACTAACGTTACCGAGTGAACTTTATCTACCTTGAGGGAAAATCGCAGGAGGGATGAAGATGCAAGGAAGAAAGGGTTACGAAACGATAAAGCAAGGGAGCATGGAGGGAGTGGAAGAGCTTTGGAGCGAGGAAATGCTGGAAAGAGACATAGAGGCAGAGATTGAGAATAGGTAGATGGAGTTTAGAAACTGTGGGTAGGGGGATGCAGGGAGAGACTGAGGCGATAAGGTGTAGATAAAGGAATAGACTGAGGACAAGGAGATAGAGTCAGAGACTGAGGACAAGGAGATGGAGTGAGAGACTGAGGATAAGAAGATGGAGTCAGAGACTGAGGACAAGGAGATGGAGTCAGAGACTGAGAACAAGGAGATGGAGTCAGAGACTGAGGACAAGGAGATGGAGTCAGAGACTGAGGACAAGGAGATGGAGTCAGAGACTGAGGACAAGGAGATGGAGTCAGAGACTGAGGACAAGGAGATGGAGTGAGAGACTGAGGACAAGGAGATGGAGTCAGAGACTGAGGACAAGGAGATGGAGTGAGAGACTGAGGACAAGGAGATAGAGTGAGAGACTGAGGACAAGGAGATGGAGTGAGAGACTGAGGACAAGGAGATGGAGTGAGAGACTGAGGACAAGGAGATGGAGTCAGAGACTGAGGACAAGGAGATAGAGTCAGAGACTGAGGACAAGGAGATGGAGTGAGAGACTGAGGATAGGGTGTAGACGGAGCAAGCGAGTTGTTGCGGGGCCTGGAGTGCTTTGCAAGGTGAAAGAGTGGCTCGAGGACGGGCAGAGGTATGTTTATGTGTTTGCAAATCGTTGTTTGAACGCAACGTTTCAGGAAACACCCCCGAGCTGCACGATTAACCAAGAAAGTTCTGGACTCCCTAAAAGGGTAGGGTTGTTTCCAGGACTTTGTACGGGTAGTGACGTGGCGGGACCGAAGGCGAAGAAGGTGCTCCTGTAATTAGTGGGGTAGGGGGTGGTTTTACAGGGGGAGGCTTTTTTTTAATTTTACAGGTTCCCAACTTTGTCTCCTCATAAACGGGGGTGGTGGATGGGAAAATGAGAGGGTGGGTACAAAAATACGTCATGAGGGTGGGGTCCATATTAGATGACGACCGGGGGGTGGGTGGTCCCTCTTATGTGAATAGACTCCCCCTCCCCCTGTGATCTCGTGGAATTCTACAATCCCCCACCCACCCTTATCTCCAGGCCTCAGTCCTGCTCAGTGGGGTGGGTCCCAGTCTTATATAGGTGCCCTGCCGGGGGACGTGACTCGACTCCATGATCCACGTGACCCGGCGCACTGGAGGTCTCGGGAACTACGCCGCCGCCGCCGCAGTGCGACTGTAGTTTTAGTACGTGATGAGTACGGCGATCTCCAAAGCGGCTTCATTGTTGGCTTCTCGCCGTTTGGCCCGATACTTTACTCAAAGTTAAGTTAAAGATCAGTACGAGGACAATCAGGAGAGTCGAGGAGGCTTGACCCTGACACTGTCGCACAGGCCAAACGGCGAGAAGAGAAAAGACAGCGAGAACCAAACCCAATCCTGCCAACAGCTGTCCCCCAAACTTAACTGATACCTTCACTTAACGGCGCGCTGGACAATCCCCCCGCGCCGCCATGCCAGCGATGTCGCGGTGGCCGCCGCCGAAGGAATGAGACGCATACCGGGATGCACCCGCGATGATGGCAGCGTAGGACAGGGAGGCCTTGAGCTGAGACGTCTTGCGCCTGTGCGACAGTGTCAGGGTCGTACTGCTTTTTACCTTAACTTTGAGTAAACGGGTCAAGCCTCCTCGACTCTCCTGATCGTCCTCGTACTGCTTTTTAACTTAACTTTGAGTAAAAGGTTGGCTACTTTCAATGGGCAAAACTTAACGGAAGTTTGAGTACGCCGGGCGGCAAAATTGGTATGGCAGCCAGTCACTGAGTGCCGAATTGCGGCCCGAGCCCAGTGACTCCACTGACGCGGCGGCCCGCGACCGTACTAGCTACGGTACGCGGGGTCACTGAGTCACGCACCGTGGCACTGTGTCAGTAGTGTCAGTAGTTGACGGTTGATCATTTAGAGCGCCGGAGCGCGGCCTGCCAGTGAGGCTGGGCCGCGGTGGGCCGCACTGCGGCAATCCCGGTCATGGCCATCATCGGACAGTGTGATGCTGACTCGGATGACCCGGCAACAACCGGAGGATCATCGGAGGATCAGGGTATCGCAACCTGGCGGCTTTTATTTTGCTCTAGTATATGATACATGGCACTCCCTCATGATCTGATCCAGCACTTTCCCGCCTACAGGACCTGTCCACGGGTATGTCAGTTGCATTTTCTCCTTGCTTGCTCACGGGGGAGCTCGCGAGACTGTGGGGTTACCGCCTCACAGAAGGAATCAGGAGCGAGAGCAAGGGGCGTCTCTCCCTCGTTGTTCTTGATCGTCGTGCTAGCACCTTGGCAACAAGTTGAGGACGAGGACGAGGCTGGACAACCTCGCATGCTTGCCTGCTCGTATGAGCGAGACGCACGACTCCTCCTGCTGCTCATACATGGCAAGGTGCAGAGCGGTGTTCCCCTCCTTGTCTCGAGCGTTCACATCCACACCCTCGGACAAGAGCAACTGCAGGCACAGACCTATCAGCCCACCACACCAGCACCCGACTCACTCTCCTCCACAATTCGGCTCCTCCCCGTCCCGGCCGCTCGGTGCAGCGGGGTCTGATTGTTCCCGTCCATCAACCTAGGAGGAAACATCAGACTCGAGCTCCTCTCATGCCTTGAGCAAGCTCGTCACCTGCAGTTCGCCCCGGCATGGATCAAGGCTTTGACTACCTCTGATTGCAACCCTTCAGCTCTCCTTCTGACCATCATCCTCTAGTTCCTACTGCCACTTCCGCCAAATCCTCCAACTGCACTACCTCCTCCTCCTCCTCCTCCTCCTGCTCCTCCACTTCCACCACCATCCACACCACGTCCTCCTCTCACCCGTGTGGCCTTTGCTGCAGGCCAAATGCAGAGCCGTACACTGGCTGCTCGCCTCCTCAAAATCCACCTGTAGCAATCATCTTTCAACCCTCGATGCGCTTGCACTCTGTCCCCTACCTTGGCATTGGCATCCAACAGGGTCTTCACTATGTCCGCGTTGCCCGAGCTCGCAGCCGAGAGCAACCTGCTCTCGCACCATGAGTGACGGGCGGCTCGTCAGGTCGTCATGGGCATACGGGCACCAGCCTCCATCATCCACAGTCTGCACGCACGATTACAAGTCGCTTCTCTTGGGGAGCCGAGCTGTTACCGTGGCGTTGGCTCTTCTCTCAAGCAGATATGCCACACATTCAGCATGGCTCTGACCTGCTTTCGGCTTGTTGGCGCATGCCCAGTGCTGCATAACGTGTGATTGCGGGGAGAAAGTGAGAAAGTCCCGGACCAGAGCAGTCCTTCCGTCCTCGTCCTTCCTGTTCAAGTATTCGATATCGCACCCCTCTGGATAGGTCTGCCGTATCGCTGCCAGGTTGCCATCACGAGCGGCTTCCATCCTCAACTCCTTCAGGTTGCTCTGTCTCCTGTCTGTCATCATAAATCAACGAAACAAGACCAGTAGTTCTGCGTGTCTCATCGTACTTTATCAAACATCCGTTATTTCTCACTTTGCACCTTCCACTGCATGTAGTATTTCTGTCCTCGTACACAGAACATGAAACAATATGTTGTTCCCTCCCATTCCCCCGCTCCCTCCCCCGCTCCCTCCCCCGCTCCCTCCCTCGCTCTCCGACGCTGCCATAACTGGATCTTGCTTGTACACTCCACATGGAATGACAAAATCAGGGGGAGGGGGTAGCTTGGCAAGGGGTACTGTTATTGTTTTTTCAAGGATGCAGAGGTGGTGGGGGTCATTTAATAGATGGTGCAGACGGAGGGGTGGTGATGATTTCCTTCGTGCAGCTTGGTAAGATTTACCAGTGTGGGTGTAGCAGGACCCACCGGTAGTCGACATCCATGTAGGGTGGGGGTGAATGTTGGGGGGAGAAATTCCCAGGGGGGTAGGTCAAGTACTGGTACTTCTGACTATATTATTTGACTCTTTCTCATGGTGGGGTAATACGTTGGGGGTAGAGGGTATTTTTAAGAAGGGGTATTCTGATTCATTGTGTTACTTATAGTGGGTGGTGGGGGTGGCTAGTGGGGCGGATGAGCAGCGCGGATGATGCAGGGAGAGAATGCCTAGAGGAGGCTGAGCGGGAGACTTTGCAACTGAGGTAGCGAGAGTAGCAGGAGGACTAGAAGCACAGGTATCAGGAGGAGGAGGAGGAGGATTAGCAGGTGTAGGAGGAGCAGGTGTGGTTGCTCAGGTGGAGGAGAAGAGCAGATTCGTGCAAGACGGGCGGGATGAGGATTAGTTGCGGTGAGGAGAGGGAAATGTCTTGCAAACGATGGGAGAGAAAAGAAGGGAAGTCATGAGGAGACAATAATCGTCGACGGGAAAGAACGAGATAGAAGCGAGAAATCTCAAGAAGACAGGATAGGTCTGTGTATCTTGTTTGCAACATGTAGTCAAAGATGTGCTTGTATTCCCTTATTTTCTGTGGATTGCAGCATTGTTATGCCCAGAGTAGTTGTATTAGATCCTCTCCTCGTGTAGATTAGTTGTATTAGATCCTCTCCTCGTGTTCATAGCCCGCGCCCTACCCGAAGAGGATTGCAGTTTCTCTTGCTTGCAAAGCAGACTCGAGATGGAGACATGTTCCGGCAGTGACTGCGAGGTTTACGTGGCAGGATAAACGAGTTCATAGACACCAACAAACACCTCTCATGTACATTCTCGTACAAATTCTGTGATGGGGCCAAGGCACCTCAAAGAAGGACACCTTCTTGTTCAGGTAACACTGCTTGTTGCAAGACTTGTTTGTATCTTGACAAAAGATGATTTGAAGCGGCCGGGAAACATCAAGAGATGGGCGAAAAAGTGGATATCTATCGGTGCGGACAAGTGTTTGCGAGTTTCCGATGGACAGACGGCCAAAGCTGTATCCGATAGTCTGAGTTTGGCTTCTTTGGGTCCGAATGACGTTGTACTCCCCAACGAAGTCGAGATTCACATCAAGTATGACGAGAAGTTGTTGCAGCTGAAAGCTACGAACGAACAAGAAAGAAATGAATGGTCGAATCTGATAGTGGCTGTCTCACAAGACCGAGAGAACAAGCAGCATGCCGAGGGCTTGCAGACAAGCCACCAGCACAGGAATGAGAATGATAACCCTTCAGACCCCGAAGATGGTGAAACGCTGCTGGATGAAATCCTCGGGTGTGAGAGTGAAGAAGAAGATCACGAGTTTCATGATACCCACTCCCATCGTAGCTTCAAAGACAAGGACGATGACGACAACACGTATCAATACGATTCCAGTATTGAAGGAGAGGCCCCGCCCGCCCGCAGGATTCGGGTTGGATCTGAAGTAGGAGGCCAAGAACAGGCTGGAAACGAAGGAGATTATGAAGCCTCGTCTGAGACAAGGGGATTCGACAAAGGACAAATGCCAAGAATACCAAAATTGAGTGAAAGCCAACAGGCTGCACGCAACAGTTCCAAGTAATCTTTGCTCTACTCGTGGGGAGTTTGTTCTGATGATGGACAGGTTCGAACATCGAGTCTTTGTCACAGGCATATCAGGTGGAGGAGAATGGTTGGATAGGAATCTACTCAAGTGGCATTTTGAACGTTTTGGACTTGTTACCGATGTATTCATGCCAAAGAACAAGAGGGTATGCTCAGTTTTTCTCATTGACGAGTCGTCCTTGTAACGAAATTCATACTTTTCAGGTTGCTTATATTTCATTCCAGAATCGTGAGTCGCTTGAAAAGGCGCTGGCATTGAAAGAGATGAATATGGAGCATTGTAGAGTACGTTTGATGCGCGCAGAGCCAAGGCCCGGGGGTGGTGGTGAAATGTCTGATCAAGTGCCCATGGAAAGTACTGTAACTACACCGAGAGGTCAAGAAAACTATCCGAGGACAGAAGGCTTCCGGAACGAAAGCACGTTTCAACGATCGAGTACTGATGACTCTCGTGAAGGATTCTCGATGCCTGACAACAGAGACGTTCATGGCAAACGAGATCGCGATGATATCCTCAAAGCGCCCGACACTGTCCGTCCATGCGGTGTCGGGATGGTTCTAGCTCATCCTGACAGTACTTCCAAGGCATGCTGTATCGTAAAAGAAATCAAGGCTGGCGGACCAGTGGACTTGTGCGGCAAAGTTCAAGTGGGCGACAGGTTGATCTCTGTGGGGGGTGTCAGCTGCGTAGGTTTAGCACGTGATGTGATCAAGAATCACGTGCTGGGTCAGCCCGGATCTTTGGTGGAGCTGGTGTTCGAGCGAGAGGATGGCGAACCGATCACTTGTAATTTGCAGCGTTCTGCTGGTGGTTTGCCAGCTACAGACAAGCCTGTGGAAGGGGAAGAGTGGTCTCGACCCGGGAAATGGAGTGATGTCGACTCTCGCGACTCAGATCCTCGAGAGGCCAAGAGAAGAAAGGCATTCTCACGAGCTGAAACTGGTTCTTCGGTTGATCAAGAGATGAAACCAGGGCCGACGAGTGATGGCAATCGCAATGAAAACTGGCAATACTCTTCGTCTGACTATTGGAATAATTCGTACTCTGCATCATCGTGGCATTCGGACTACAGAATGGATGTTGACCGTCCCGCGTATGGGGACGATAAACGAGATTGGAGCAGCTCTCAAGCAGATCGTGGTAGAGAGGATCTGATTGACAAAGCAAAACTACGAGATGACGGTCCAGCAGGACCGGGGCACAATTCTCCTATCTCTCCGACGGCCTCACGAGATGAAGACAAGTGGGGATCCTCTTTGCAATCGAATCGATCGCCTCCACGTAATCGGCGATCCCCTCCTCCAAGTAACTCTACTCGACCAGATCGACAGGAATTCCGCGTGTTTTTGACTGCAATTGCTGGCGGGCATGCTTGGTTGAATCTAGATGCCATTCGTAAGAACATGGAGATGTTTGGACGAGTCATCAACACATTTATTCCACCTGGAAAACGATTTGCTTACACCTCGTTCGACAATGCCAAGTCCATGGAAAGTGCTCTCCGGCATGAATTCATCATTATTGAAGGCTGTGAAGTCAGAATCTTGGTTGCGCACAAACATGACTGGCAAAAGAATCGAGACAACAATTCAGTTACTGATTTGAGAAACAAGATCTCGGAGAAGAGAGCAGCGCGAGAGGCGCTTGTTAGCAGCACCAGTTATGCGGGTTTTGCAAACCAAGGTTTTCCGAATCAAGGTTCTTCAGAACTTGAAAACAGTCTTCCTCCTCAGCAGGGAAGGTTTGAACCAAGACAGATGTCTTTAGTCGAGGAGAGGAGAGGAGAGGAGAGGAGAGGAGAGGAGAGGAGGGGCTCATTTCATGTTGATACAGAGAAAGTGCAAACGAATCTTCATCCAAATTCTGCTGGGCGTTCAATGGAGTCACATCCACAGCAGCCTCAGGCACAACCTCAACAGGCACAGCAGCAGCCTCAGCAGCAGCCTCAGCAGCAGCCTCAGCAGCAGGCACAGCAGCAGGTCAAGTCAATTGTTTCTGAATCCAAGAAAACATTGAACAAGTTGCCTGAAGCAAAACTGACTGAGTTCGAGCAGTACATATCAAGTATCACATCCTTGAAGGAGCTGTCCGAGTACCTGAACAGCTTTCCGCTTGAGGAGCTTGACTTCGACCGGGCGACGTTCTGTCTGAACCGACTGACCTACATGACGAGCCACATCGAGCTACAGGAATATCCGTGGAAATCGATTGAGAAGCTCAAAGAGGCGCTGGTGAAGACCTACACGGCCCGTGATGATGCAAAACTCATCCTCCAACTTTTATTTGCCTTGGGCAAGTTCTGCGTCCCAAACTCTCGTGACATTGACTTCGCACAACGTCTTTGCAAAGATGCTACTCGGCTTGCAGCGTCTTACTCGTTGTTCGAGGTCCTGTCATCATTGAATGTGGCAGCTACCCTATCGCCCAAAGTTGAGAGAAGTGTCATGAATGAGATGCTTGCAGCGACGGGAAGAAGGGTTGAGACCTTGATGGACGAAGGTGGAGCACCAACAGTTTTTCCGATCTTCCTCCTCATTGAATGATGTTTTAGGTCTTCATCTAGGAATAGAACAAGTTGCTCAAATCTTGAGTTGCTATGCGGCATTGAAAACTTTGCCACTTGAATCGACTTCACAGAAATTGATGGATTCCCTGACTGCACAGGTTGTTGCAATCAAATCTCAGATTATTTTTTACATGGAATGTGTAACATTCAGCTAACTCTACTCTTTTTGTCTCCTCTATTTGCCGTTATTGCGTGTAGGTACAGAAGATGTCTGAGGGAATTCATTCGGCTACAATTACGTCATTGCTTGATTCTATGGACAAACTCAGAGGTTTACCGCGCCACGAAGATCTCATTCTGGCTATTGCAGTTCGCTGCCGTGCAATGCATCAGGTTGTTCACTGTGCAACACAATGATTCTTACGGAACATTTCTTCTTTGTTTGTTCTTGTCTGGGGCTTCCTTGTCTCTTCACGTACTTGATTTGCCTCGTGCTGACTTGACTGCTTACTTGCAGCTGCTCCCAACGAATGAGCTCGTGGCGATGATCGTTGCGTTAGCCAAGCTTGAATCAGTCTTCGAGTCCAACTTCCTGGAGGAGCTGGGCAGTGCCATGAGCAAGAGGCAGGATCTGACCCCCATGCAAGCGGTGGACGCACTTTGGGCACTCCTTTCTTTTGGATGGAAACGTGAAGAGACCACAAAACTGGCCGAGATGGCAGCTAGGGGAGTGACATCAATGACTTGCCTCTGTGCTGCCCGGCTCCTACATTGCCTGGGGAAGCTCAGACTTGTGAAAATGGGCAAGAGAGTGTATGAGGATGCTGTGAGCTCTATCGTGAGAGAGAAGTGTGAGGGTCTGAACGGTCGAGACATCATCCATCTTTTCGAATCTGTTGAGGCCCTAGGGGAGCCTTTGACCGAGGACCTCGAAGTTGTCCTTGCGAATGTTTCTAGCACGTACTTCCATGAGTTTTCTGCATCAGAGGCGGCAAAGGTATTAGTAGGGTTGAGTGCTGGTGGCAGGAATCTCCCTGACAATCTAGTGAAGTGTGCACTGCCCCGTGTAAGATCAGTGAGGAAGAATCTGAATTATTCTCACCTGGACAAGATCCTTGCTTCTCTTGTTGTGAGGATCCGTTCGAAGGAAGACTGTCACGTTCAACGTCAACACTGCTCAGAGAGGATCGAGTTGGCAGCAATAATCTGTGAGGTACATTCGAGATTCCTTCGCGACGGATGCATTTCAACTGATGGTATTCTTGAACCCACCAGGAACTTGCCAGCAGTCCTGACAGGCTCTCGGCGCCTTCACTGGCAGTGGCTGTGAAAGCCTTAGGGGAGTTGGGCTACAGGCCACCATTCGATGTGATGAGTATACTGGCTTCGTGGGCAGTTCGACACAAAGACAGATTGGTAATCTCTGAAGTGACTGATGTCCTAGAAGGTTTCCTGCAGACGGGTTGGCAAGGTGTAGGTAACGTGGACCCAGTCCGTGCCCTCTTGAAACGAATCAATCCGCTCGTCGAGTCCTTGAGCCCCTCCTGCGCTGCAAAGCTCTTGATTGCAGTGGGAGACTCAAACTTCCCTTTACTGCCCAACACTTTTGCTCGTGACACAGCGATGAAACTGCTATCTCGTGTTACCATGTCTACTCCGATCCTCAATACCAGTATGGTCGTTGACGTGCTTTGCTCTTGCGCGCGGTCTGATGGCCAAAGGCAACATGCGCTGCTCATCGAGGTACTTCGGACACGGGATTGTTTGCTAGATTGCTTGTCGTGCATCCCAACACTGAAACTTTCCGTTTCTCACTATTTTCTTTTGTGACAGAGTTCCGGATCTCAATTCCTCGCCAAGTTTGCAGACCGAGTCCCCAAGATGAGCACTTCGTCCGCGTGCAAGTCTTTGCTCTCCCTGGGAGAATCTGGGCTGGCGCCCTGTCAACAGTCCATCGACAAGATCGTGTGTCACATAGTAGCAAGAGCGAAGGACCTGGACCTGCAAGACATCTGCGACTTCTGGCGAGGGATCGGGTCCTTGGGTGAGAGCCTGTCTTCTCAACGGCTGGCGATTCTCTTGAAGTGTACTTTGACTCGAGTTGCGTCCCATAAGTCCGACATGAGCGATGAGGGCATCAGCCGTGGTAAACTCTCGTTCCAACTGCTCCGGATCATCACGCACGCGCTCTGGGTCACATGCATCTCCCAAGAGTGCTTGCGGGCCGAGAAGGTGTTTCAGGATCCAAACCAGGCGAGTTCGCCGGGACGATCAACTTTCGGGGATGAGACCATCTCATCGCTGATCGCAGAGCTGCTGAAGAACCACTTGGAGATTTACAGCCTTAACGCCATCCATGCCGAAGAGCGGGTCCGCTGGGGCACACCGGGTAGTCTGCCATCCGACCTGGAGCATGAGCTGGAGTGGGAGTTGCTGCCTCGGATGCACTTGTTCTTTTTGTCGTACAAGAATTATGCACCCGAGCTCTTCAAGCAGCTTGTGAGTCAGAGTGAAGATTGGAAGCTGCTGGCCTTTCATGCTCGCTGTCGCTTCACAGACCTGACGATGGCAGAAGCACGAGTCCCAATCATCAATGAGATGCTGGAGCTGGCCAACAGCTTTGGTCTGCAACTCTCCAAGGAAGAAATTTTGGATGATTGCGGCTACTGTCCGGCCCTGTGTCTAAGGAACAAGTGCGTTGTGATCGACGTGGTGGACAAGGGCGATCTGGTGCTGGTGAACAATGCGAGTTTGACCTCCGACGGCAACTTGCGGCTGAGGGGCTGGGTAAGGCTGAAGCATGACCTCCTTAGCGTGATGGGGTGGAATGTCTTGACGGTCCTGAAAGAGAGGTGGGAGTCGCTCTCTGGACAAGATCTCGAGAAGTCAAAATATTTCTTTGACAACTTGCGGCTGAGACCTTACCTTACTGACCTCCGGATCAACCTGAGCGAGCCTGACGTGGCTCTCCGCGGTGTGACTGACAGGAATTCAGCCATTCTCTTCGTTGAACGACTCGCCTGCGTCTTCGGGAACTTGCGGATGCTGCAGCCCAATCACATCATGGCGATCTACAAGCTGCTCTTGCACTCGCCTCCTGTCCACCAGACCCGGCTCGCCTCGGCTCTCATGTGCTCTGGGCTGCAAGAGAGGACCTTTGAGGTCGTCCGTGCTCTGAGCGTGCAGGACATTGTCTTCCTGGCGGAGACTCTGACTGAGTTCCTCGTCGAGTTCGATCTCATGCCGTATGGGAGCAGCAGGATGGAAGTCAGGATCAAACCTGAGCTCATCCAAGAGATCATCCGTTGGACCCAGGAAGATCGCATGTGCGCCTTGACTGGCCGAGTGTGGGCGGACGCTGTCGGCAGGTGGGCCTCTGCCTTGTCAAAGTTGTCAAAGGAGGCGTTAGAGAGCATCAGCGCGGCTGTGCACTCAGTCTTGCTCCACTGCCACAAGCCCGAGTACCTCTCCCTCCTTGCAGGTGACCCGCTCTGCTCCATCCTCGTGGCCTGCGGGAAGTTCCCAAGCACCTACCAGTCGTCTGTGAGCTCTTCCATCAACATCGTGCTGGAGAGGATCATGAGCCCTGAGGTCTTCTCCACCCTCAACGCCCAGCAGATCGTCGAGCTGCTGGGAGCCTATCCCTACTGCGGGCACTACAACCTGCGTGCCTTCCGGACGATGGTGGACCAGGCGGCCTCGTTGCTGGCGAGCATGACGTGTCACCACATTGCCATGATAGCCCGTGCGCACATTCGCAACATGCAGAGCATCGAGATCATCCAGCCGATGCTGACGTCGAGGCTGCTGCAGATATCTGACGAGACTTCGGGTGGGCAATGGACGCTGCTCAAGGACTGTGTGTCGATCCTGGTCTCGCTGGGGCTGCTGGGAACGCACGACGACAAGGTTGAGAATATTCTGCTGAATGCTGTGCACACGACATGCGAGAAGGAGCTTAGAGGTGTTCCCTACGACGTCATCGCTGAGCTGCTGTGGGTCATCTCGCTCTGCCGTTACTCGAACCAGGAGAACCCAGAGATCGAGCGAGTGCAGGTGAAACTGGTAGGTGACTTCATCGCTGCGTGGGAGAGCGGCACCTTGTTCTTGGGCGACAACCGGCTGGTCAAGATGGGGAACGATAAGGAGACGAACAAGAACGTTCTTGACGACACGCACGTGGTCATGCTGATGCAGTACTGCGTGTGGCTGCGACAACGAGGAGCAGGAGCTGAGGCGATCCTGTCGCAGCTGAGCGAGGGGTTTCAAGCCCTGGAAGAGACTCTGAAGCAATTTGGAATCGACATGGATGCCAGGAGGGCAGCCGCGAACTCGGAGATATTCGACGACATTGCGCAGGTGCTGTCGAGCATGAACACCAAGTTCGAACGCGCCGTTGCCGTGCACGAGTGCGGAAGTTCCCTGGGCTTCAAGCTACACGGCGTGGCGACAACCATCGAGATCTACGCGAGGGACGACTGCATGCAGAGCAGCAGCCAGCGAGGCTTGTCCCACAAGCCAGCGGGGCTGTGGATCCAGCGGATGAACCTGCTGAAGCGGAGCGGGCTGATGGTACTGGTCGTCGGGTTCGAGCAGTGGGGAGGGCTGAAGAAGGCAGAGGTGCTTGAAGGAGGAGAGCAGCCGCAGGCGCGGTCTGAATGGCTGATGAAGCTGATCAACACGAGCACATGGGCGAAGTCTCTGGAGCCTCCAGCTGGGATGACCGCGACGAGCGCGTGCGAGTCGAGCGGGTGGCAGATGAGCATGCAGGTGGAGCAGGACGACTACTCATCGGGAAGCGAGTTGATGGAGCTTGGATCCGTCTCCTCCCGGGGGTCTCACGTTGAAAGTCTGGACGAGGAGAGTGCGAGCAACCGAGCGATGAGTGCGGAGGGAGACAGACTGAAAGCGGATGACTCGAAGACCAAGAGGATGCGGCAGGAGGGGAAGCAGTGGACGGTGAGAGCTCTCTTGACAGCACGTCTGTGACAGTCTCGATGACTGCTCGAGCAGGTGCACTGGAGCAAGGGAAGGAATGCGTGGTTCTACCATAACTCGGAGACGAAGCAGAAGGTAATAGAGGAGGAGAGGAGGAGGAGAGAACAACAAGGAGGTGGGAATGGTATGGTGGCGCTAATGGCATGAGCAGGTGTGGAAGCCTCCTACAGTGCCGGGTTGGATCATCAAGACTGGCAGTGGGGATCATCCGCCTTACGGTGAGGGTCAACATGCTGCAGAGAATTCTTGACGTGAGCGCAGTGGGATTGCTCCATTATTACTTCAACCCCGAGTCCGGACAGATCGCGTACGAGCCGCCGAACGCGTGACAGACGAGCTTGAGCTTGAGTTGTATTCATTGAGACCTGTGTTGTCAAATGTGAGTAAAGAGAATGTCTGTTGTGATCTCAGATGATACGAAAGTGGACTTCTCCAACCTTGGAATTGATTATCAGAGTTTCTTCGTCAGCAAAGTTGTCAACACAACTACTGTGCTGAAATTTAGCAAGACTATTTCTACCACACACATGAAGAACTAAATTGATAGTGTCCTGAAATTCTTTAATTATTCGAAAATTGCAGCTCAGCTCTACTTTCAAATGACATTGTTTGGTACAAATTGCTTCACATTTCGAAGAATCAAATGTTGGTGGTGTCATCTTTCAAGAGGGAGTCAAACCAGAATTCCATCTGAGACAGAAGAAAACTTTTGATGGAAGCAAGATTTGTTCGAGCCTGAGACAAAAAAGTGGAAATGCAAGATTGAATGCACAAGATGGAAGTGATATGCACTCTGTTTAGTGATGTGCACTCTGTTTTAAGACTGATAATGATTGCTTTTCCTCCTGCGGATACTAATCATGTGTTGAAGGGTTGTTCCTTTTTGGACCCATTCAGAAAAACATCAAGAACCATAGTATTTGCAGGAAAAACCAATAGACGATCGCTCTGCCATCTTTCTCCTGATCAACTTGCATTACCGTTGAAATTGTGAGCTCGAGTCATCACTCCAATCCACGTCCTCCATCCCATTGCTTTCTTCTTCCAGAGGAAATGACATGTACCACGCGATCCAATCGTTGTTGAACTGAATTTCCTCCTCCCTCCCTTCACCCACACGATCCTCCTGCGCGTGTTTGCGTCCTGCTACAGGCTGATGGGCGAGCTGGTCTTCGTCGCTCTCCGTCTCTTCATCCCTCCTCCGGTAGGGCCATCTCTCTATTCCAAGCTTTCTGCATGCAGTCTTGAGCGAGGTGAGGGAGATGCCCAAGGCTTGCGCGGCCTGCGAGAGCTTGAGGTGGTACAGGGCGGAGATACTAGAAAGGTCGAGGAGAATGTTGTCGCGCCTGTTTGAGTCGCGGGGCCGAGCTTGAACGAGCACAGAGGAGAGAGTAGGCTGAGAAGGTGGAGCAGGAGGAGCAGGCTGAGCAGGAGGAGCAGGCTGAGAAGGTGGAGCAGGAGGCATAGGAGCGGCAGCGGTAGCGAGCATTTGCGAGGCACCGGAATCAAAGGGTGTGCGTTTGTTCTTTACTGCATAGCCTCCTTAACTTCAGTTATCGCAAATATTGAAATTGATTCGCTCATTGAAATTATTTTCAAATATCAGAACCCAACCCTGTCCTGAGCTCTGACGCTCATGGGGGTGGACTGGAATCCCCAGGTACAAATTGATTTGATTTTGAAGTAAAATTGTTTGAAATCCAAATTCATCGGGAGATGACCGTCGATGACTATCACGGACCCGAACTCCTGATTATGCTCCCAGTCACGGCACCGAGGTTGAAACTTTCAGTCAACATTGCAGCTTTAATCATTTTTTTTTGGGGTAATGGCGGGGCTAGTCGCTGGCGGCTGTAGCGGGAGTAGGAGGGAGGGATCAACGAGCAACAACATCCACCCCCTCGTTGTCCGATGCACCATCGGATTGTCAGATGCCAAATGTTCAAGAGCAGGAGGAATTCTTAGATTCCATTGGAGCATTCGATCGCAGTGAGGCAGGAAATTTGTACTTGGTGGGAACGACTCGGACGATGGGTTTGATAATGTCCCCAATGCAAATCGTTATCAAAACATACAGGGCATGCATGCCACTATCTTAGAGTCCTGGGATCCTATTATTTCTCCATAGGATTCATCTCAGATACAAGTGCTGAAAACCATTTGATGCGAGTTCATGTGCTTCATATATCTTCGGCAAATTTGTGATAGCGACAAAGCCTTGAAAGCTATTGTTGTGATTCTCCAAAGAAAAAATGACTCCAGGAATATGATTGTTCGGATACAGATACAATCTCTGCATCGAACTCCCACAGCTTCTGCCTAGCACCCGTTCACTTAACAAGTTAAAAGCTACGAGTACAAAGGATACCTCCCGTGAGAGCTCCGAAGCTTCTCCTTCCTTCAAGGCATCAATGAGCATTTTCTGTGAGACTGCTTGTGATGAGAGCTAAGGTGCGACATGGATTCTAGATGCTATTCAGCAAACGCGCAGCAGCTGGCTCATGCATGGAATATGGAATCACGACTACATCTTAGAGAAGGTAGTATGTAAAAGATCGCGCAGGCGAGGCAATCTTTATCCATTTTCATTGCACTCACGGAATACCGTCACGTCAAACCATACAAGTATGCCTTGTCCTTGCATGCCTCCAATATCTCAGGGATTGATCAGGGGGGGGGGAAGTAGCAAATGTCTAGCCAGACATCACTATCTCACTCATGAGATGGTGATTGTACCATGATTGAGTTGAGATCAGCTGCCCGTTCACAGCTGTGATTGATTGCTTCGTCGCCCTTGCTGATAGCTGTTTAAAGTGGGAGTGTTCCTGGTGAATTAGATAGCAAGTTGGTCTTGAATGCACTCCGTTAGTTGTCCTTTCCGTTTATCAAGATGATTCTTTTTGGTTTGGCAACTCGTCCTGCAGCTTTCTTCGTCAATTTCTACAAAATCAAGATCCTCACTCACACCCATGGCAACCCAACCAGGCTTGTGTGATAGAGCCTCGACACCTGACGTGACGTCGATTGTTGTCTTGAGTTGCACCATCAACAGCTGCACGACGACTGCTCTCAACTCTCTCTATCTTCTCTGTCTCTCTCGTTTTCTCTGTCTGTCTGTCTGTCTGTCTGTCTGTCTGTCTGTCTGTCTGTGTCTGTCTGTCTGTCTGTCTGTCTGTCTGTCTGTCTGTCTGTCTGTCTGTCTGTCTGTCTGTCTGTCTGTCTGTCTGTCTGTCTGTCTGTCTGTATGTCTGTCTCTCCCTCTCTCTCTCTCTAGCTGCAAGCTTGCTCCCCTCCAAGGCCACAGTAAACCACAAGGAAGGATCGACACGTCAACGGCCGTGATTGAACAAGGAGAAACACAAAAGATGGCGGGTCAGCCTCAGCAAAGCTCACAATCGCGATCCTCCGTTGGTGACAGTGAAAGGATCCGCTGCAATACAACACAACTCTGCATCCCACGATTGATGAAGGTTCGTATCACGCCATGATGAGCTGAGGTGCTTCTACATGATCAGAGGACATGGCCTGTCATCCCCTGTGTCATCCCATCATTCCCCTTGTTACCTTCACACTCTGCCCTTCAATTCTAGCAAGGAGTAAAAAAACTTCGAAAAATCCAAAAAAATCGAAAATCTCAAGAAAAAAAAATCTTCCACCCCTACCATTTCCCATATACTACCCCCACCCACAGAAGTTTTACCTTCTTAGGAGTTGGCCATGCTTCCGGTGGCAGGACTCCCGTTGGCCCCCATGCCGTGACAGGTAAGCGCCCTCGCACTTCACCTCCTCCCCCATGCCGTGACGGGTAAGCGCCCTCGGACTTCACCTCCTCCCCCAGTGCTGTAACAGGCAAGCGCCCTCGGACTTCACTACCTCCCCACGCCTCACGCGCCTCCCCGCCGGATGTCTCTTGCTCCGACATAATACAACTTCCAACACAAACACTATCGCTCAACTGGAGGTGCCAACGGGAAGGCCGGGAGGGGAGAGAACAACGGAGGAAGAGTTGAGCGCAGGCGCTCAATAGACGGAAAAGCAGACAGGCAGGTAGGCGTACAAACATACTGACAAGACATGCAAGCAGCAAACATGCTGGTAGAAGGGCAAGCAATACTATGGACATGGACTACACTGCACCAAAGCCCCTGAGTGTAGTTCGAGGGGAAGACGTTACCCCAGCAGGCAGAGGTAACGTACCCTTCTTGTTGAGTTCTAGTAAAGGTATATTGATTGTTCAAATTAAATATTTCAGATTCCAAAAGAATGTTGCTTAAGACATTTCTAACTCCCAAAGGTTGTTGTGTACCACAGGCAAATAGGCAGGCGAGTCAGCTGAAACGACAAGATGAAGGACACAGGCGAGCCATTCACCAGGAAAAACTGAGAAAAGTGTCACTCGGACGGACGAGCAAACCAGCGGGCGGGGAGAGTAAGTAGATTGACTATAGGCTGACGAGCAAGCTTACAAACAAGCTGATGAGCAAGCATCAACGCTTGGACATCAAGACAGGAGTGGAAGCATGATGCGATTGTGAATTACCAGTAGCAGACAGTGGTGAATCAGGAAGGCGCAGACAAATATGGACAACTGAGACATGAACGTTCTCACGTTCATTTCTTCTACATGTAGATGATTGATGATTTAGAAAAAGGGAATTCCAGTTTGCACTGAGGTAGGATGTGGTGATCAAGTTGCAAGGAACGGCATCATGATGCAATTCCATTCTACAAAATGATGGGGTCGAAGGATCAAAGTTTATTGCAGCCGATCTTTGGCTTAGATCTCAAATTCTGCTCTGCGCAGGGCAATGTTCACGAAGCAAGATTGTCACAAATCTCACCTTTCTCTCTCTCTTGAATCCGTCCAGCTGCCAAACATTAAGTACGCCGCAATTGCGTCATCGCGACGCGATGTTTCCCCACCGATCACAGGCCTCCCACTTACTGCAGACATCTATCACTGTCCTTTTTGTGTGGGGTAAAAACACGTCATCGTTTTGCTGAGAACAAACAATGGTAGTTCCCTGGTGTAGTATACCTCTTCAGTTCGTCATGCATGTTCCCGTCGCAAACAAAAACGCAGCTCAGACAGAACTGATCTTTGAACTTGAGAACTGGATTACAGAGTTCCACCGCAATCAATCAGGGATACATGTCTACAAAGAGTGATGCTCTCATTTACAAGTCTTGTTCAAAGTTTCTCGATCCACTGATAGGAATCATGCGCTCATTTCAGAAAACTCATTGTTGTCGATTTTTCAAGTTTAGGACTTCATCAGATACGACGATGTGTTGTATCCAGCAAGACAATCGTTTGAAATCAATTTATCATTTTGTTGAAATTTTTGAAATTAACCACCTTTATTTCAATCTGAGTTCAGCACGAAATCTTCGATGCACTGGAGTCGGCGACCGGAAGCGACCTCCACCCCTCCAATATCCATAGACTACCCCCACCCAGTGCTGTTTTGCCTGCTGACTACCTGTTGTAAAATAAATCGTCCAGATATGAACGAAAAGAGTATTTTTTGAATCCGTTGGTCACGAGGCAACCAACAAGAATTCGAAAAAAATTGTTTTCAAGGTGACCGGGTAGCCAAAGAACATCAGCGAAGTTTCGAAAAGTTTTGGCCTGTTTGGAACCTAATAATGCAATTATACTGAATCAGAGTAGTGGGGAAGAGAATCTTGGAGGGAAGGACAAGGGTGTTCTGAGAGGGCAGAGAAGGCAAAACATAGCGATCGCACAAGAAGTTGGAGGCAGAGGAAGGTCAAGGAGGAGATCTACATCCAAGTTTCAAGGCAGAGCAGCAGATACAAGGGGGTTGAAGCTAATTACCATCAACACTCCAATGCAACAGAATGCCAGCGTTCTCATTCGCTTCCGGCCCCGGGACTCTGAGAAGCGAGGGGAAATCATGCTGACGAGGGAGGGAATACAAAGTCTCTTTCACCTCCGGCAAATAGACGCCGCGAAACAGCTGGTAATTCCTCGATTACGTCACATATCCTATTGCTCGATGAACATTTACCTCCTACCCCTGGCCTCTATCTCTTTTTGTCCTCAATAGACTTCTACTGATCAGATGCATCGCTCAGGGTGTGTCGCTCAGCTCCCTCAAGGCCGCCTGCCGCAAGCTCGGCATCGAAAAGTGGCCCTACAGCCGTGAGCGCGCCGACCGCCAGGGCTCCATGTCGGAAGAGAGCATTGAGAGGGAGGAGGAGGAAGCATCGATGACGACGACAGCAGCAGTGAGCATTGCAGCGATCGAAAATGGGAATGAGCCTTCTCTTGATCCCGGATGGATCTCGTGGTATGTAGAGGAGTCTGCTTTGGAGGACACAGGCTAATTGAAAGGGAAGTTGAACAAACAGCAAGTTTTGTAAGGGTAAAGCATAGGTTTCGAGGGCGAAAGGGACATGAAGAATAGAGTTCCCCGAGAGGTAACTAGAACAATTAGTGTTGTTCTTCTTGCTTCATAACAAGCGAATGTGGTCTACCGTAGTACACTGAGCGCTGGAGAACGTGTAGAGCTGTTGTCATGATGAGTACTACTGCACTTTTGAATCGTGAGGTCATGGAATAGCAGGGTTCTCAGGTTGCCATGACTGAAGACGCCAGACTTGCGGCCCGGATGTTTCTGCTCCTGTGCTGCTCTGTTTGTCATTGTTGATAAATTGTTTTGTCTGATGAAACAGATACAAATTGCCATCTCGGTATTCATGACGGCTGGATCTCATCTAGATGCATAGAAGCAAATCTTTTGAACCAACCACGCCAAGTATAGATGAGGCCCAGGAATTCACAATCACTTAGAGTAGTGATCAAGCGTCGTCAAAGTCTGAGACGGCTGTCTCAGTTTCTCATTGATGCCATCCACACTCTACTCAGCAACACTGTACAACCATAGCGTGTTGCAACTATAGCGTGCGGGTGCTCTTCTACCTCGCTTGCAGCACGAATGAGCATCCACGTTCTGCTTTCTGAGTTGTCAGAGATGAACTAGTTGATATCATATTCAACCTCGCCTAGTTGCGCGGCTTTATATCATGTTCGTGTCACGAGAAAAGACTGCGATATCTTGGTAACGTGACTTTTGCCTGGCAGTTTCATTACAACAATGTTATTGTCAGCATATCCACTTTAAAACAGATAATACAATTTGAGTAAAAGTTGTAGTGAAAAAGCCCACGGCCGGTGCGACGGGAAAGAAGTTGAAGAAGGAGAAGAGTCCTCAAGCACGACGGGTCGGAGGAGGAGCAGAAGAAGATTGAGGAGAGAGAAAGGATGGCACATGAGCTCGTCAACGGCCTCATGTTGGATGACCAGGTGCATCCTCAAGAGACAGTGAGCGTGGTCGTTCGCTCGAGGCCCCGTGACTCGGACAGGAGGGATGATATCCAGCTCACGAGGCAGGTGGTGGAGAGTTTCTTCGGCCTTCGACAAATAGACGCTGCGAAACAGCTGGTACACTCTGCCATGAACTCGCTGCCTGCATCCTCTTGTACTGCTGCACTCTCCTCAACCCTTCTCCGTGTTCTCCGCAGTAGTAATCATCAGCATATATCCTGTTGTGCGCCTACCTCTGACTTCTCTTGCTCAGGGCGTGTCGCTCAGCTCCCTCAAGGCCGCCTGCCGCAAGCTCGGCATCGAAAAGTGGCCCTACAGCCGTGAGCGCGCCGACCGCCAGGGCTCGATGTCAGAAGAGAGCATTGAGAGGGAGGAGGAGGAAGCATCGACGACGACGACAGCAGCAGTGAGCGTTGCAGCGATCGAAAATGGGAATGAGCCTTCTCTTGATCCCGGATGGATCTCGTGGTATGTCAGACAGCCGCTGGATGCCATATGCACAACTGAGGGCGATGGTTGAAGAAAGACATGCCTGGTTCAACCTTGTTGTCTCAAATTGTCTTTTTTCTGGTGTATGATTAGGTTGGTGTTAGAGTGAGTTTTGAGTCGGTGAGTTTCGAGACGGGCAACAAGCTGTGAATTACTAAGTTAGGTCAACACGCTGTGAATTATCAACAAAATGACTACCTTCAAATGAGTACCTTGTCTGTGTGTGAACAACTCAACTACCTCAGCTCTGAACAATGCAGAAAGAGATCACTGTCATTCCTTCCACGGTGATGGATGTCGAGGTAACATAGTGAGACCCTTCAACCCTCATCAGTGAAAGCAACTCTGTTGACAGCATTCACAATCAGTCCGATCATAGCGGCTAGCTCAGTGGGTCGGTCCGACGGTCACTTCCAAGTTCAAGCCTGAAGAATTTGTCACTGTGTCAGGGACGGTGTGTTTTACTCCACTGCCGCTGTGCTCAGTTCAATTAAGTTATTCATGATTCCGACAACTCAGTAAGTAACAGGCCGTTCAACGGTTGCCTCAGCTTGAAGAGTCTCACAGAGTCATGCGCGCAGTTCCGCGCGGGCCCGGTTCGAGTCACCGTGGCACTGGGCCCGTTGCACTGGCCCCCCGGGCCGCCGCAGCGCGGCCCGCCGCCCGGCGGACGGTCAGGCTCCTGACGCCGGGCGGTCGGCCCACACCGGAGCCTGGAGTGGAGTCCGCGTGGGGCCCCGGCCGGCGCCGGGACTCGAGTACGGTGCGGCCCCCCGGCGGGGCCCGGCCGGCCGGGCTCAGCCGCGGCGGGCACGGCACTGGTCGCCCATCTTGCCGGATATCAAATTCACTTTAGATGCTTTCACCATGGCTCGTACCCAAGCGAGCCTACCTGAGCGCATTGATGGTATGAGGAGGGCGAGGGCGAGGGCGAGGAGCGGGTGATGGTAGAAGAGAACGAGGGGAAGGTAGAAAACAGGAACAGAACGTATAGAAAGTTAGTCTGCAGATCCTTCATAAGAGTCAATCACGTTATGCAGAGATGTTTCTTCTTCTTGACCGACTCCTCTCATATCGAACCTGCTCCACCAACATCCGGGGAAAGGTTCGCTGAGGCTTTTTGCGGACAGATCTCCTATCATTGTAGTCTCGCCGCCAGATCAGCTACCGCGTTCCACCTAAGGTAGGATACCACAGCAGCGATGAGCAGTTTGAGAGCAGCATGACTGAACCTCCCAGCATGTCTGCTCGTACTTCCCAGAGCGAAGAGACCGGGCGGAGGATCAAGACTGCATGGCGAAACGATCAAGGTACGAGAGTCGCTGCCATCTTCAAGTAAGCGTGTGCGCCATGGCCAGACATCAAACTGTGCAAGCACCCATTGAAAAGGTCGGCTGTCCTCCCCCGTGCTCCTTGTCGCCTTGACGTGTGCGCAGGAGCAGCGTCTGCTACTCGGAGGGAGGGAAGGAGCTGGTGGGGGAGGTATGCTGGCCGGATGTTGGGGATCAGAAGCTCGCGGGAGTGCTCCTGGTCCACACGGCCGTTGGGCTGCAGGAAGACTTCATGCGGTGGAAGCTTGAGGCCGTGAGTGATGAGATGGGGGAAGATGGAGGAGGGGGAGAGGAAGG